CCGATGCGACGTTAGGTACGTACCTACATGGGCGTGAAACATTCTCCGCGTTCGACGTGCCGTAACCGCCTACCGACGGTTACGTGGATTACTTTCGCGGTTTTAACCGAATATCCCGTGTCGGTCACCAAAAACCGACGCATTCCGTCATGAATAAATGAAACTGATTATTGCCCTTTAGTGTTTTATGCGATATAACAAATTACATATTAATTCCGAACAATAACTCTCTGTTTATGTAACTTTTGCAGCAAATACGCGCAAATTGCTGACACCAACGTGGATAATTGCTGGCAGCAATTGATGATGGCAGTTTTTAAATGAAAAACAAATTCTATATATATCTCATTCCCCTACACTGAGACAAAAATATAGTCAATTTTAATAAATATTTAGTTCAATATATTGCCAACTAAACATTTACTTACAGTAAATAAATATTTATTCGGTAAAAAAAAAATAATTGTTAAATCAAATATTTAGTCGGCAGTATTCAACTATTAAAATATTTATTAAAATTGACTATATTTTTTTTCAGTATACAATAAGTAGGTAGGTACTAATGACTACTGTAAACTTGTACGACTTCTGTTGATTTTTTTCTAAAAATTACTAATGCGTTTTCTAGATACCGCCATCTGTATAGCACTCGTTTTCGAAAGAATGAAGAATTCTTGTGGAAGGGCGTGATTAAGCGAGTTACACGTCACGCGAAAATTTAAGAGTGATTAACTTACTTTTTGCTCAGTCACTATCAATCTTCAGCTTTTGAAGGAATTAGCTCCTTAGAAAATATGAACACGCTTGCTTACCTGCAACAGAAAAAATATCGATATGAATATATACATATATATTGTCAAATGACATTATAGATAAAATGTAATAGAATAATGTTATAAAAAATTAATTTTTACATATGCGCGCGTCAAGATTTCTTTCGCTCCATTTATTAAATTAAAATCTTTTTAAAATTACATTGGATTTTATATAACATGAACAAAATAATAGAAAAGATCTTTATACATGTAAAATCTATAAAACGTGTTAAAGTATTTTTTAAATGTAATTATATTAGAAATATAGCCGCATTTCACAGAGGTAGATTCCACAACGTGGAATCTACTATTCTACGTTATATAGATATTCGAAAAATTTTACATATACTAAGCCACGCAGTCAAGAGAAGGTAGCATTTACTTGCGGATTTCCATAGAATGCAAATTGACGAAATCCACCCAGTTCATTTTCACATTACACTCTCTTTTTCTTTCTTCACTGTTAACGCGAGAAAATACGTTGTTACGGCGCTCCCAGTCGCTAATTTTTAACAAAAGTGGCTTTTAAGACCAACGTGTATCATTACAACGTACACATTACGCTAATGACACCGGTCATATGCATTACATAATTAACAACAGCGCGATACGTTTGTTCATCGTTGGCGCTCTACAGATAACTGATGGAAGGAAACTAATCACTATTTTAAGCTATTATTCGCAGTCTGTAATTTACTATGTATTTAACCAATTATTTATTAGATTACTGTTGTAAGATTACTGCTATCATTCCCGCCGACTTGTATTCATTCAATAGAATGAAAGATAATGTTTCAATAATATCTCTATCATATTATTCCTTTCATTTTTATTCCTAAAGAAAAAAATCTAACAATAATGCTCACTTTATCTTTTTGAGCTCTTAAATATTACTTTTAATATATTTTTAAATTAATTGCTTACATACATATATATTAATACGTTTAATTTGGATTTATACATTATAGAGTTTAAAATGTAAATAATTATGATGTATAATAAACCAGTCTGTAATAAATCTTTCGATAACGATCAAAAGGACACCAGCAAGATTAAAAATCTTAATTTTTTAGATTTATCTCAGAAGGTACGTTAATTAATTGCGTACACGCTCACGAGAGAGAATGCTAATAAGTCTCTTTTTGAAGATCCGATAAACGGCAGCTTCGTAACGCGGCCGAGAAAAATTTGGCCGCCCTATTCAAATTTTTCCACCCGGCAACTAATTCGAGACCATCATAGATATACGCGCATGTATCACGACGGCGGGCCGGCGGTTACATACATATATATCCTCGACAATGGGAAGCGGAGCCAGGTTATCTCGGTTCTTTGTATTCAAATTGCTGCGGAAATACAGCCGGCAGATTATGTGGAATAGGCATTTATCGTGGGATTATGAAACCCCGTATTGTAATAATAATGCAACGTTACTCTCGCCGGTTTTAATTACTTTTTTATACATTCCCTTAATCGATGACAAAGATTATAAAACCAGAAAAAACGGAATAATTACTGTTTCGTCGTGCTTCACGGCGCATTTAAGCGCAGCTGTAATTATGCTTAGAAACAGGAAAAAGAAAATGCAGTCGATAAGTCCCACGCGAAAAATGTCAATGTATGACGACTCATTGCGCAATTAGGAATGTTTCCGTTAATGAACTAGTTCTTGTACAAAGTTTCATTGCAATTGTTTCGTTTGCAATTGTGAATAGAATAAACACATTAACGTGTTCGTATCAAACAATTTTATTATCAAGCTCATATTAAAATAACTTTTTTTTTCTTACATATTAAATCTTTATAAAAATGAACAAAAAATTGACTAAACTTATATTGAGAAAAATCATATCAGAATTCTGATTATCTCAATTAGAATTATAAAAGATTCAGCCAGAAAATTCTAATTTGTCCATTTTTAACTAGAATTCCAATTAATGCAACCAGAATCTTTTGTAAGGATATTAAAGTAAGATTTTTCAATAAAATAAATCGTAATAACTGAAATTGCTCGGGCAAGTCTAAATGGCACAGACAAAAATGCCACAATATACTCGCCGTTTAATTGCCTATAAATTTCTGGGAATCTTCTCGTTTCTTATAATAAACGACAAAAGATTCGGTAACTAAGTTATAAGGTGTTATTAACGTAGACGGTACAAACGCAAGGACTAACGCATGATGAACGATAATCCTCCTAAACGTTATACTTGTTGGCTCGTTGATTGTTGCTGTCGACGTTAATGATTCATGGCATGCGAGAGATTTAACGATAGCGAATTCGAAGGTACATTACGCCGACTGTCAAGCACAACCGAATGTTTGTCAGTAGAATCAAAGACTTTCATGTGGATTAGATCGTCTAGACGTCGCGAACGAAAAAGATTTCATTATTGGTGAACGACGTATTACACAAGAAAATATTCGGATAAAATATGAACGGATATCAAATTGGAAAATATATTGCACAAACAATATGGTAATATTTGGTTACATACGTATAAGATTATATATGTCACAGAAGATAATAATATAATAAATTCGCTCCATATTTTTAAATTTAGCTACTATTAATTCAAAAGGTTTTCATCTCGTATGTAGAAAACTTTTAGAAATGAATGAAAATATCGTGGAGTAAACATATATGTTTAGATTTTCTCGATCATTAATGCATGGGTGACAATTATTCGTCTTCAATACGTTAGCTTTATCGAACAGAAACATTAAAAAATTTAAAACTTATATGACAATATAAGTTTTAAAGAGAATAGACAGTACACAGTCGAGATTCAAACCCTGACTGAGGTAATACTTCTCGTAATAAGTTCATTGCAGATTTTTAAGATGTTTATTAGAGCAATTAGGACATTGTATTAAACAACTATCTCGTGTTTAATGACCAATTAAAAATGATGATGTCCATAGCCTAGCGATATTCATGAGACTTCGACTTGTACGCGATTAAAATTCATGAACCGATTATCCACACTAGGAACATAAGTGTGTAAGAACAATAAATAAAGATATTCGCTCGTTCATCTTCTCATTCTACAACTCAACTTTTTATTTTAAAAATGTATTTCAGTCCAGACTATTTGTCCTAAAACGCAAGAGACGCATTATAAATATAAAAACATGGGAATACCAGCAATTACGAAGGAAAAGATAAACGCTAACGTCGACTGAGGTTGCAGTAAACTTTGTGGGTTTGTTAATTATAAAAAATACGTTTGTGCCGAGGCTAGTAACCCAAGGATGCAAGAAACTACGCGTCAGCTCGGCGGGTTTATTAATTAGAGAGGAAGAGGTCCACATCGGGATAAAATGCAACGGTGGTTACGCGGTTGCTTATATCCAAGGTTTGCGGCAGAGATGGCATATTTATTAACTGAAGAAGAGATTAAAAAAGCGAAGGAATGCCAGAAGAAAATAAGGATGAAAAAAAACGTAAGTATCGAGAAAGTATTTATTGAAAAAAATTTTATTCGAAAGCATTATTGAATCGAATTCCGCATTCAATAATCAAAATAAAACAAACAATTTCCGTAATAGAACGAGTGGTTAGCTTGCTTGTACGTCTCGCACGAGCCTGTTAGCTTATTGATATTACTTCCAAGAAAGGGCGCTAGGAAAGAAACGAGGAAGGGAGAGAAGGCTAATAAAAGAGAGTGGGGTAACTGAAGCAAAGCTGCACTTAGCAACATCGCGCTCAGCAAACCTCATGACGACGGCACAGTTAACATAAGCGCACGATCAGGGTCAGGCGACACTATCTGATTACGGCAAGTTCGTTAATTGGCAAATTGCGAGCATGAGTCATGCGTCGGGTCGGGTAGGTAGGCAGGTTCGGTGAGTCACGTGAAATTCTGCGCTCCCTTTATGGTTCGCACGCGAGTGCAACGCGCGCCGATCGGTCGGACAGCCGGTTACATGCACGCGCCGTTCACCGCGATATTCCGACAAGCATGTAACAACGATCAGGTACATCTCGTTCCCTCCCGACGTCCATTCCCCATTCCCT